TAGTCATAGTCATATGAAATGGTGGTTATGAAAAACGAATATTGGTGCTAGGTGCTGTTCGTGCAAGGTTTCCTCTCAAACTTGAGGGAGGAGTCCAAATGGACTCTATAAACAGCATAAACAAATAATGCATGATTTCCATATACAATAACTAAGATAAGAGAGAGTAAATAACTAGTTGGAATCTGACACAACTACAATATTATTTTGGCGAGAATACAACCAAGGTTTTTCCAGCGAAAGTACAGGTACAACATTGTCTTGGAAGACTTCGAAGTGTTTATTGAACTTAGAGACCCACTCAGTTGCAACCGGTTGAGCCAGGTCGTACCATTCGCGCCAAGGCTTAGGTATTGGGATATCTACGTGAGGGTATGAGAGTGAAATAGACAAGAAATGTACACCACTTCGATCATAAGAGAGAAATATGGGGGGATTATCGTTTGCACAACAATCTAAAGGGAAACCTGAGAAGCTTGTGTCTTCACTGTAAACGCAGAATAATCTTTGATAAGTATTAGCAATAAGATACATCATTTGAGCGGAATTGAGCCAGAGGGAAGGAGTGTCCAGTATCTGTGGTCTATGAGTTTGAATGGCGTTAATGTGTTCGGCGACCCCGCCGTCGCCTCGCTTGCGAGCTTTGAAATGCAATTCGTAGAAGTCCGACTTGGAACGCAGTTCAGCAATGAGATCTTCACGGACTGTGGTCCAATCGTCTTCAGGCCGCCCCAGGCTGATAGCAATTGCACGATAGCCACAATGGCCATCAGCAGCAGGGTCAGATACCGATTGGACATATCTTTGTAGCCATGCCGGGACTCGAGGATCCTGATTTACAAATACGAACGAGGAAAATGGGCTTGGGATGCTAAGTTTCATAACCAGGGATGGAAAGATCACACGTACACACTTTTTTGGCCGTGCAGGTCCGAGTAGACTGACGGGTACTTCGACGGGCACCTTCAAGGTTGGAATCGATATTTTTATGCCTCAAAGACCTGCGAACGGGGATGTTGTGTTCCTTTGAAGCTTCAGGATTGGTCGCAGGGCGCTGCCGCTTGGTATTGCGCTATAAATACTCATGTAAGCTGGTTAATGGTCCCGTTGGGTCAAGGTGGCGGTCCTTACATTGGTACATGTGAGTTGCTCGGTCTGGATGGTATTCACGGTTGAGCATGATTCTTCTGGGTGCTTTGATGGGCTTGTGAGTGGGAGAAGCGATATGATATCAAAGCTATCGTCACCATTGTTATCGGTGGGAGAGATAGGTGCCTTAAATTTCACAATACACAAAGATGGCGAACATATATCATCAGCGACTTGTGGTGTCAATGTTACAGTAAAGTGCTCACAGTGGGACCTGAACATTCGCGTGGACTTAGAGTCGTAATGATGGCTGGAATGATGGTTGTTGGTGAAGGCTACAAACAGGTGTCAGCAAGTGTCTTGGTGCAAGCGTTTTTGCAGACCTACCAGTGGAGAGTCCACACTTGTGGCAGGGTTGGCGGGACTGGGAGGTGCAGGTGTGGGCTGCAATCAAATATCTCAGTCTGGGCATCCTTGATTTGATGGAACGATATATTGAAAAAGGTTCGAATCTAAGACTGACCAATGCTTCTGAATCATAATCGACCAAAGGGTTCAACCTCAGACAAATTGCTGAGTTTGGTTGCGCTGAGTCCGATGCTTTCAATGCGTAAGATGGTGTAGCTGGCGGTTGACGTGATATGTTAACAACGTCCATGAGGAGATTCGGGACCTGGACTGGGGGTGGGGGCTCTGGAACTGCGTTATGCAAAACGGTAGGCGGTGATGTCGATGCTGTAGGGAGAGGTTCTGGTGCTTTGGGCGCTTTCTTGATCTTCCTCTTGCGCTTTGGGTTTGAAATTGAAGATAAGGTGGTGGAAATCTATGTAGATATGTCAGACATCAAGTTGAAGATATGGGATGTTGACTCTAAAAAAGGAAAAGACGACTTACGGGGGCCGACTTCATAATGAAGGGTTCGGAAGGTTTTAGGATGGGAGATTCGGTAGCTCGATTGGGTGGTGAATTTGGATGTGGTGGTGAGGGTTGGAATGATATCATATTGGAAGGTAGGTTCAATGGAGAGATGTTGGCTTTAGATTGGTATTGATGAGAGGAAGTCGAAGCATCTGGGGTATTGGTGTGATACTTGTTGAGGATGTCTTGAATTTCGGCGAATGCTTTTGCTCAATCGTTTGCTGGGAGCTGAGAGAGCTTGTTGGAGATCTTGGATAAATAAGAGATAAGAACAATAACATTTAAGCATCTGAGCGACCGAGCTCCTTGACAATTGGGGTGAGCACAGACCACGGTTGATCGTTGCTTGATAACGGTAAGACTCTCGGCAACCGGGCATTTGGTCTCCTGGGTCTGGAGGAGACGTGGAAGTAGTCAGTTGTGGTATTCAGCTACGGTCTACATCAAACAACTTACTTCTGAACCTATAGGACCATGGTTGTGTCCAGGATGCTTGATACGAACTGTCCAGCAACCCACTCGAGGGGGTATATAGCTGGGATTCACGAGCTGATGAAGTGCAGTGGGTACTTTGGATTCGGTTATCTGGTAGGCAGTGAAAGAGAATGGGCAATTGGTCTTCTGGGATGCTGAGTTTTCGGATGGCTTTGGGCCAGAACGATGACATGTGTATCGGACACTGGTGTCTTCTGAAGAGCGAGTGGCGAGCTTGTATCCATTGGCTTCGGCATGTTGGGTGAGGAGTATGTGGAGTTCACCTCTGGTTGGTGCGAGGAGATCATTTGGTGGGGGCTGTAGGCAGGTAGGTGTCAATGTTTGCATTATCGAAGACATTGGAGGGGTGTTGTAGTGTGGAGGAGGGATGAAGGGATTGTGGAAACGAGGTGGGTGACGTTGTTTTATGTGGGTGGAGGTAGGGTAAAGGGTGCGATCGGGAATAAAGATGGTATGGTGTGAACTTTCTGGTTAAGTGTGGGGTGTCCGGGTGACTAATGGGTGTGGGTTGGATGGGTGTAGATACAGCAAAGGGTATGTAGTTGAGTGTGCGTAGGACGCTGCGTACGGAGGTGCAAGTACGGTACATTGGTGAGTTCCTTCATTGTAGGGTGGTGACCATAGGTTCAAAGGGGTTGGTGGACTTAGCAGGGTGGGTAGTATACGGTACACTGGTGGGTTGTGGTAGGTTGAAGGGTGGTAGGTGACTTATTGAGGTGGGGTGGTGTATTGATTGAGTGGGTTGAAGTGGTGGGAATCTGTGTTGGGGTGGTGAGCACCCAGTAAAGGGTGGTGGGTTTTGATGAATGGGTGGGGTGTTTGTTTAAGCGTACGAGGCTGGTCTTGTTCTCCTTAGGGAGAATATTGGACTTAGCCATATTTTCTACCCCCCAAGAAGCTTCTCAGGATGCTGTTTCATCTTGACATAGGGTGTCGAATGACATTGGGTCATACATACGTCTGTATGACCCTATGGTATAGGGTACATACTTAAGTGTACAGGTGGGCTAAATTTGCCCACGAAGCGTATATGGAGTTGCGTGCTTCAGTCTTTGAAGAAATCAAGGTGAGATTTACTTTTTTTTTTGTTCATTCTCTTGATCGAATTCAGTAATGGCTAATATTGATATTTATTTAGTCACTTACAAGCTCTTTTGGTATGATCCACGACGCGTGGACAACAAAAGGAAACCGCTATGGTTTCATTGGTGCGACTGTGACTTTCGTCAATAAGGACTGGAAGTATGTTACGAGACATCTCTGTCTCAAACTTATCGCATGGCATCACAAAGGTGATTGGCTTGCCGAGCCTCTCATCAATGTTTTAACCAAACATGGCATACATCACAAGATAAGTCTGAATGATTTCTCTTCTTTATTCATCTTATTTTTTTTCTTTGCTTCACTTTTTCGCATTTCCTAATCTTGATATGGTATTCTGTCATAGGCACATGTTGGCCCAGACACACGACTCTGGTAGCAACAACAACACGTTGGCTGAAGCAATGCAAGTCCGCCTTACTAAATATAGCGCAGATCGTGACGGGACCTTCAAATGGGACCACAAGCTTCATAGAGTGCGCTGTGTTTGCCACAAACTAGCTCTCATGGTAAACGCGGGACTACAAGCGCTTGGCATCCAAGCACCACCACCACCCCTAGTCACATCGACGATTTTAGGCGAATTTCCTATACCAACTACAACTTTGCAATCAATACCCAAAGAAGATGAAGACGAACTGCCGGAAGTGAACTCAGCTGACCTAGCCGATGACAAAGCTGGATGTAATGAAGAGGTAGATGATGCGGACATCATAATAGGTCAAGCTCAAGACAGCGCCACTTGGTACGACGTAGCGGATGGCCCCCATCCAGAACCTGAAATCACGCTTGAAGACGTTGAGTCTTTGGCCACTGATCGAAATGAGGCCAATGCTGTGCACAACTTGGTGACAAAGGTATGTAAACCTTTATCTAATCATGTATTTTACTCTAGTGTCACAATTACTGACATTAAATCAACCTTTTGTGATAGCTCGACGTTATTGGTCGTAAAATTGGTGGATCAGCGGTTATGTGTGGGCTATTTGATGCGGTATCGCTAGCAATGCTTAAGCGGAAGCTCCCACGACCAATTCCTGGCTATGGAATCAGGTGGAACATAAAGCTTCAGTGTTGGCATCGGCTTTACAATGCCCGTGAGGTGCGTGTATCAAGGTGTTTAAATATTTCCATTGTTATCTTTTTGCTCACTCACACTTGATACTATTGACAGGTCATTGATCAGATTCTTAAAGAAGATCAAATGGATGCGCCGCGTAACACCAATCAAAGTCGATCTGGAGAAACGCCTCTACCGCCCGATGTCCATCGCCCATGAGGTATTTTCAATAAGGTCATGATCACGCCTGGCGAATGGCGACAGGTCCGTGACCTCATGGAGGTTCTAGAGGTTAGTACCTCTTGTCTCACCTTTGAACCATCAAAAGAACTAATACAATACCTTCATTTGACGGTTCATCGGTTTAGGATTTTGAACATCTAACCAAATTCTTCGAGCAAGACAAACCAACCGGCTCATTAGCTATTCGTGAATACGTAAAACTCAAGAAAAAGATTCAAAAGAAGATAGATGACACTGAGTCACGTGCTGAACCCCTATTACCCTTGTACCATGCGATTCTAGTGCGTGCGGACGCATACCTGAAGGAGGCTCTTGGCTCTCACACACTTATCCTCGCTACAATATTACATCCAAGTCTTCGACAGGATTACTTTGAATTCGCGTTTGGGGCTAAAAAAAATGAGACCATCATGGCCAAGCCTTTGATCGAATCAGCATATGAGAAGAAGAAAGCCGAAGTTGAAGCCAGTGGACCAACAACTGCGACTTCTTCTGCTGAAACCCGAGGCCATGGCAAGAGTTTTACAGCTGAAGATGAAGAATTTCAAAGACATAAAGAACTTCATCGACGCAAAACCGCCAATGAGCTCCGATCTTACTTAGAAATGGCTGAGGAGCCAGCGCCCGAGGTGGGGGACAACCCACATTTAGCTTTGGCATGGTGGCAAGTAAGTCATCTTACTAATAATGAATTGATCAATATTGGTTTTACTCCACTGACTGACATGTCAACTGCTGCTTCAAAGGTAAACGAGGGAAAGTATCCCATCATGGCCCGCCTTGCCAGGGATTACTTGGCGATTTCTGCAACAGCTTGCCCCGTTGAGAGAACGTTCTCGTCGGCAGCAGATGTTTGCACCGCTGACCGCAGCTCACTCTTGCCTAGGCCAATCGAGCGCTTGGTTTCTGGCCGTATGTGGACTAGAGAGGGAGTTCCAATGAAAGGAAAGTTTTCTCACGCCTCTGAAGCAATGGAACAGTGTCTAATGAATGACCAAAAAGCTCGCAAGCGGCGTGGTTGAATTTATTACTCTTTTTTGGTTTGGTACAACTTTATTTCTTTTTGAATTTCTTTATTACACTTTTTTTTTCTTTGAGCCTTTTCAACTACCCTCGTTTATACTTTTTTCTGTTATACTCTTGATAGTAACTTTTGTTCTTATCTTTTCTGGTGAATATATAAGCTTTTTCTATATATAGAGAGAAGGTACCAAAGATGTACTAGGCGCGGTACCTAGTGGTACCGGTCTAGGTACGACACCGTACCGTACCGGAGTGTGTCTGCCAGGTACCGGTACAGTACCGTACCTACCGCTTAATAAAGTTACGGTACTTGCCTTTGAGGCATAAGGCAAGCTCAGCCGTGAGCTACGGTACTGAGTACTGTAGCTCAGTTCAGGTACGGTACTGGGTACTCTTTTTTTCGAGTACCCTCCAGTCAGGTACGGTACTGGTATTGCAGGTACGATACCAGTACCGTATCTGTTGCTGCGTTGCCACCACCCTACTTTTCCTCCAAGTCCTCAATTTTCGAAATTCAGCCTTGTTCAAACCCATAATGGAAAACCCATAAAATCCTGCATACCTTAATAAAACCATGCACAACCCATAATTTTCGAGATTTCCACTTAACACCTATGTACTCTACATATCCCATACAACCCTAACTAACCCATACCTCCTAAACCCATAAAATAAAAAAATAAAATAAAATTCAAGATTAAAAGTTAAAAATTAAAAATTAAAAATTAAAAATATAAAATTTGTAATAATAAAAAATAATAATAATTTTAAAAATTAAAAATTGAAATAGAATCATAAAAAAGAATAGAAAATAATAAAACAAGGTAAAAAATTAATTTAAATTTGTAAATGATAAAAATAAAAAAAACTAAATTAATTCATAAAAAAATAAAATAAATTATAATAATAAAAATCAAAAATACATTCAAACTGTAGTTTTGATTACCACAGCCTCCCCCAAAACCACATGATGTCCCCATCATGCAACATAAAGAGTGTTTGCCTTTGAAAATAAAATGTTAACTCCCCCAAAACACAATGATGTTTGCCTCACACCTGGTAAAATGAGTAATGTAAGTTGAGAATTGATGAATTGATTAATTTGAGAAGTGAGAATAAATTGATGAACTTTTAAGTAAGTATGTATAATAATAATAAATTCTTTGCTTCAAAAGTGTAAACTTGGATCTGTAAGATAAAAATCTGTAAAAGTTGAAAGGTTTCTTCTTAAATAATGTAATTTAAAACCTATTGTTTGTTGTACCTGTAACTCCAACTTATTATACTTGTAATTATAAATTGATTATAAAAAAATACCCCTCACGTAAAAGATGAGTAAGGGTCCTTTTCCACGTCTTCCAAACTTCCCTCCACGCCTCTCACATCTTTCAGTGAGGACCTTTCCCAAAACCATAAATGAAACATAAAAAAAATGATAAAAAGAAACATAACCAATAAGTTTTGAACTTGAAACTCCTAACATTGTATGAATAATTCTGCCTGACATGTAAATAAATTGTACCCGCTGCCGTTGAATGTAATTTACGTGATGTATTGCGCCCTGATGTAAATGATTAACTTGTAAAGTAGTTGTGCCCCAAAATAAAATGAAAGAAAAAATGAAAAACACGAGAAAATGAAAATAAGAGAATAAGAAAGAGGTGAAGAACCCGCCACAGCTATGTTTTGTTGTTCCCTCTTCACCATTGATTTAATACCCCTAAAATTAATTAATTTATAATTTTGACTTTTAATTTTTGATTGTAAACTCCGCGCCCAAAATAAAAAAATGAAATATGAGAAAAAACTGAAACATAACCAAAGAAACATAACCAAAGAAACTCTATATGAATGAAATATAACCATAACTTGAATTTTGTGAATTAATTGAAACCCGCCTCTATGATGTTGA